TCTCTCTCTCTCTCTCTATCCATCTCTCTCTCTCTCTCTCTATCCATCTCTCTCTCTATCTATCTATCCATCTCTCTCTCTCTCTCTCTATCCATCTCTCTCTCTATCTATCTATCTATCTCTCTATCCATCCATCCTCAGTTACCTTCTGCAGCTTGGCGTCGGTGTCCACGATGTAGCGCTCCACTTGGTCGGCATTTTTCTGCAGTCGGTCGATGAGCTCGGACAGTTCCTTGCTGGAGGAGACCCTGTAGGAGGGGAGAGAAGGAGACCCGAAGTCAGCCAGGCACAACATGCTGGGAGCTCAGCAGTCGCACAGCTTTCGCTCCTCTCCCACCCCTCGGCTTCCCACCCCTGGGCTGACTGAGAGCCGTGCGGATGCCAAGGGGGAGCTCGGACTGGCCCGCTGCCAGATCATTAGCCGGTGACTCACTCGGCCTTTTGTATTACTTTCCAAACTATTGGCGTGCTGCAGCCGGGGGATCAGGAGAGACACCAGCGTGTGCGTGTGTCAGCAACCCTACCAACCACCCCGTACGGTCCAATGCAGAAATAGGATACAATGTCCCCATGACAGGTTCCCTTTGAAGCTCAACACACAGATGAAATACATATAAAAGGGAGATGTTTCACCTGCCGAAAGATTTGTATTTCTGACCATCCAGTCCAGAGATTTACACAGCTCTGCCTCACAGAGCAGCCCTGTCTAGTAGGCCAGGAGACCTGATGCTTTTAAGTAACACTGACAGGTCTTGTCCTTCCCCCAGACTGTGAATGGACAGTGAAAGAAAAAGCAGCCAACTGCTGCTTCTCTCTGCTCTCTCCACCTATCGACATGTCCCTTGTAAACACGTGAGCACTGATTGGCTCCCTGTGCTGCTTCTCCCTCACCCAGTCTGAGCTCTGCTGTACAGTGGACTGCAAGAGGCTGACACCAGGTCACATTTATACAGCTCATGATGTATGAATGAATATAGAGCTGCATTCATTGGTGTCTTAGATCCGCCTGGAGCTCAGCGTTAATATCTAAAGCATTGGTAGCACAACTTCAACCCGCCAGTTGTGCTGAAACTACAAGTCCCATGACGCACTCAAGACTCTGGCAGCCACAGGCATGGCTCCCAGAGGCAGAAGTATGATGGGATTTGTAGTTTCACTACAGCTGAAGCGCCAAAGGTTAGCTACTTCTGATCTAAAGCCTGCTAGCATGTTTCAGGCACTGGGGCATGGGACAGGGGGTGCCTAGGCAGCTTATAGATGGGGAAAGGGACAGAAAGGACTTCCGACAGTGTGACAGTCCAACCATGGAAAGCATTGTAACATATTGCAGGCACTGGGGCTTGGAAGAAGAAGGGTCCAGGCAGCCTATAGGAGGGAAAGAGCAAGGGAAGGACTTCAGCGGTGCAGATTCAGAAACATCGATAGGACTTTTGAAATCACAGCAGCAGGTTGAAGGTCACGTGAGATTTTATTGTTTGGGGTTTACAACTACTTCAAGCCACCGACCAGCGGCCGCCATTTTGTAATCACACATGAGCAGAGTCTCTCTGGCCGGGCCGGGTGAACAGGTGACGGATTATCCGGCTGTCCCTGAGCTCAGTAAACAAGTGAATTAGGATATGCAGAATTAGTAATTGAATTCCACCCTCCCTATTGCAGCTCTTTATCCTCCTACGCAGAGGAATGTCATCTCCAGCCCGGGATGAAGATCTTCCGTACACGTCAGGCTGGTGGACCAGCACACCCGTACACGTCTGGGTGGAGCGCAGCTACCAGCATCCTAAAAATACCTTTTCCTGGGACACCTTGCTCCCGAGTCCGAGCGAGCTGGTTGTGTCAAAGTCACTTTCCCCATCACAAAAAAAGAGAAAAGGTGTCATACCTACCCGAGTGTCCAGGATCCACAGCCAATGAGGAAACAGTTCTCTTGATCTGCGCCACAGCCAATAAGGAAACCGTTTTCTTGATCAGCCCCACGGCCAATGAGGAAACCGTTTTCTTGATCAGCCCCACGGCCAATGAGGAAACCGTTTTCTTGATCAGCCCCACGGCCAATGAGGAAACAGTTCTCTTGATCAGCGTCGCGGCCAATGAGGAAACCGTTCTCTTGATCAACGTTGCGGCCAATGAGGAAACCGTTCTCTTGATCAGCGTCGCGGCCAATGAGGAAACCGTTCTCTTGATCAACGTTGCGGCCAATGAGGAAACCGTTCTCTTGATCAGCGTCGCGGCCAATCAGGAAACAATTATCTTGATCTGCGGCACGGCCAATCAGGAAACAGTTCTCTTGATCTGCGCCACAGCCAATCAGGAAACCGTTTTCTTGATCAGCCCCACGGCCAATGAGGAAACCGTTTTCTTGATCAGCCCCACGGCCAATGAGGAAACCGTTTTCTTGATCAGCGTCGCGGCCAATGAGGAAACCGTTCTCTTGATCAGCGTCGCGGCCAATCAGGAAACAATTATCTTGATCTGCGGCACGGCCAATCAGGAAACAGTTCTCTTGATGGGCGCCAAAGCCGATTAGGAGGCAGCTATCTTAAACTGTGATGCGATGCGTGGCTTGGGGTTCGAGCAACCCATCTCTATACTACAACAGAGCTCCTTACCAGTGCACCCCCAGAGCATCCTGTGTCATCTATTGACTTTAGTGCACCCCGTGACATCACTGCACCCCAGAGCATCCCGTGTCATCCATCTACTGGCCCTAGTACACCATAGAGCCAGAGCCAGATTAACATAGGGGCTACTGGAGCGCCAGCTTCAGGTCCAGCACTGAAAATAGGCCTAGCGTGCCCAGATTGCCTCAGCCTGCCTAATGGAGCAGCACCGCTGAACACAATAGGCAGAGGAACACAATAGACAATAGGCCTCATGGGGCCCCAGTGAGGGGCGAGCGGCCGCCTGACTTCAGTACTTCCCAGAGCACCTTATGTCATGTATTGACCTCTAGGGTGCCCTTTGCACCTCCATGAAACCTGGGCCTCCAGGCAGTCTCTGGAGCTCTTCACAACTGGTGTGCTATGCTCCACCAACCCTCTGCTGCCGCTCTACCCTCAGGTATACTCCTGAGATCATCCAGACTGTCCTCGTCTCAATGGATAGGAACCCCTGTCTGTAACAAGGACTGATCAGCTACAGCTTCGAGCACTTCAGGTGTTAGCTCCGGGATACCGGGGAGGCCATATTTCACAAAACCCAAGCTTCCACTTTCTCTATTGTGCTTCCCTGAGAGGGGATGGGACAGAGCTGACACTACCACTGTCAATGTTTTGGACTCACAATTCTTCCAACTCGATATTGACAGTTACACTGAGTGCATATGAAGAAAATCCCCTGATGGAGCCATGCAAAGGGGCGAAACATGTTGCAATGGGAGTGCTTGAAACACCTTCATTTGGTGATCTGCCTGAACTGACAAAATGAATAATGAGAAAGGTTTAGGGTGTAGTGAAATAAATCCTCCCGAAATTATATCCAGCGACAAATGAGATAGAGAGATAAAGAGTGCGCGAGTCCTCGGCTTTACTGTCAATGGGTTTTATGAGACCGGCTGAGAGATATCTAATCTAAAATAATAAATAGTTACGTTGTATTCAATATGAGAGATTTTAATATAAAATAATAGTTATGGAGCATTCATTGTGAGAGATATTTAATATAACATAATAGTTACATTGTATTTAATATAAAGAGATAGTTATAATTATATGTAGGGATGCTCACACAGTTTATGAATTGCTCCCTATAGATGATCATTTAAATTGTAGTTTGAAAAGCCGCAAGCAATTAGCAATCCTTAGCGTACCCATCGCCTACAGAAAGCTGAGATCCCATTGGTTGCTGTGTTTAATAAGCATTGTCATTGCTTGTTGTGTATGTGCAGATTTGGAACTTAAAAGGAGAACTATGAGGAGAGAGAGATTTACAATCACCCTCATAGTTCGAGCCGACGTGTGACTATGAAACTGTCACAGGTCGGCTCTATACAGGTGAAACTCGAATAATTAGAATATGGTGCAAAGTTCATTTATTTCACTAACTTAAAAGGTGAAACTAATATATGCGATAGACTCATTACATGCAAAGCAAGATAATCCAAGCCGTGATTTGTCATCATTGTGATGATTATGGCTTACAGCTCATGAAAACCCCAAGAACCCCAAATCCACAACCTCAAAAAAGTAGATTATTACATGCAATCAATAAAACAAGGATTGTACATAGAACAATATCGGACCTCTGAAAAGTACAAGCATGCATATGTACTCAGTACTTGGTTTGGGCCCCTTTTGCAGAACTTACTGCAATTACTTTTGCACGATATTCTAATTATTCGAGTTTCACCTGTAGATGGGGAAGTGAGCTAACACATAGCGTCGCTCGCTCACTTCCCGATCATCTCCCTGCAGAGAGCGGTGACTGTCGGTCACCGCTCTCTGCAGGGATTTCCCCCCTCCTCGCTCCGATCCTCCTGCGCTGACTGGGGCAAGGGATGGGCACAGCTGGCTCTGCCTCTAGATACGCTGAGCCAGCTGTCACTCACACAGGTGGGTGCATCTCGACAGCATTGTCGGGATCCGTCCCAGCTGCGGCGATCTCAGTATATAGTGAGCAATAGTTTACTATATACTAAGCTTTGGCTCACAGGAGGAAGGCTAGTATATGTCCTCCCATGATCCTAAAGAGAACTATGGGGAAAAAAGGTTACCCCATAGTTCTCTTTTGAAGGAGAACTATGAGGTGAATGCTTTTCACTCAGCCTCATAATCTGAGCCGACCTGTGACAATGAGACTGTCACAGGTCGGCTCAGCAGATCGGGAAGTGAGCGAACACATACCGGCGTTCGCTCACCTCTCGATCCTGTCACTGCAGAGAGCCGTGACAGGGGAGTGACTGGATTCTCCCCTCCCGTCCGATCCTCCAGCGCTGACTGGCGGAACGGAGGAGGGGGCGGGTACAGCTGGCTCTGCCTCTAGATAGGCAAAGCCAGCTGTCAGTCACGCAGCTGGGCGGATCCAGACATAATCGTCGCTGTAGCTCTCTATATACTGAGCTTAGGGTGACAGGAGGACGCTAGTTTGTGTCCTCCCGTTACCCTTCAAAGAACTATGGGGAAAAGACCTAACCCCATAGTTCTCCTTTAAAGCAGTGGTTACAGATGTCCAACACACCCCTGCTGAGTTGTACCTATAGCTCTGCTTGCTGCGGATTGGAGAGCTCTAGCTATGACTCAGCAGGAGGCGT